CAGGAGATCCTTAGACATATTATAACTCTAAAATACAAATGAAAAATGTCTGAAATTTTTATAGGTGTTTTATTTTGTGTAAAAAAGTCATAAAAAATAAGTTTTTTTGGTAAATTTTGGGTAATGCCATTAGCAATAGTGCCATAGAAATTATAGAACTCGATGAAAATATCACAATTATAATAGGCGTTGACAATAGACAAATGGGTAGGCCTTTTGGGCCCGGTGTACATGTAGATCTAGACAAGTCCATTAGGAGCTTCAGAGACATGCTATCGTGCTCAATTAGATCATCATCCACACAGTTATCAATCAAGTATATTATAAAAACAAACCTGCAATACCTAGAAGGCTAAATTCATTTTAAACAGTTGAAAAATGACATCCATGCACTACATAATCATGTTCTACTAATACAGTACTGGTTTTTTGGTAAATTTTGGGTAATGCCATTAGCATAATGTGTCATCATACACATCATTTGATAGATAATTTTTACTAGTTTGTGTGACACCAAATATATTCAAATTGAATTTTCCAGTAATGGACTAGCTTCAAAATACAATTTTTGGGTAAAAACATGCAAAATTTGCAAATGTTTGGTCAGAATTTGGCACTCGAATCCAAAAAAGCACTTTCAATATGATGGCCACCCATCTAGTATTGATTAGACCATTTTGCACACTTAGGATATCTCCCCCTCCCATTTAATAAGAGTTTCCCTTTATAATAGGGTTTGGCCATAGAGTTAAAAGATAAATTTTTCTCGTTTAATTGAATAGTTTCCTTTTTGTGGTGTCCCCTGAATTGAAGTGTCCCAAAGGAGGGGTGCTACTGTAATATCAAGTCATCTTACCTTGATTCAAGTGTAACTGTTCGGAGTTGATACCAGAAGTGTGATCAGTAGAATGTCAGTGTTTACTGAAATTAAGATAAGATAAGATAAATATGAATTGTACATTGAATCATGTCAAGGCCAAAGCAAAATACCAAAATGTATTGATTTTTACTTATTGCTAACAACATGTATTTGAAATGAATTATGTGGCCAAAAAGAAAATCCAATTTATGAAAATCTAACATCTATACAGAGTACCGACATGCAAATAATGAATGTTGTGATATGATCTCATCAAGTTTAACAAGTGATATTATTATTATTGAAATTACAATATTGTATTAAACATAATGTTTCATACTGTAGTTCCTACCCATAAGCATTTTTACATTCTAATATGGTTTCAAAAAGAATTATTTGGGACTGTGCATCATTTAATGTAAATGTATATTCTTGAAAACTATACAATAGTGCCATAGAAATTATAGAACTCGATGAAAATATCACAATTATAATAGGCGTTGACAATAGACAAATGGGTAGGCCTTTTGGGCCCGGTGTACATGTAGATCTAGACAAGTCCATTAGGAGCTTCAGAGACATGCTATCGTGCTCAATTAGATCATCATCCACACAGTTATCAATCAAGTATATTATAAAAACAAACCTGGAATACCTAGAAGGCTAAATTGATTTTAAACAGTTGAAAAATGGCATCCATGCACTACATAATCATGTTCTACTAATACAGTACTGGTGGAAATTCCCTTATGACTCACAGTGTTCATAGACAATGTTCTAAATAAAAATGGTTCTCAAACACAAATCATGACCCAAACAAATCTAAGCTACTCTCCTATATATCCAACTATATAGCACTTTATATTTTTTGATGTATTTTTTATTAACATTATTTGTTATCCATGCTTTTGAGAAAGAGATGTTCTCTCTTTAAAATGGATTGATTGATAAACTTGGTAAATAGTAACATGTATTGACAACGATACAATATTTACTTAATATTGTTATAATAGTTAGGTTACTATCGTTGTTGTTATAATAGCAGTAATGCAGCCTAATGCAAATAAGTTTCAAATGGTCATGTTTAACAATATCAAGAAAAGTTAAGAAAAAAAAATGGGGGTTTTGATTTCTCCTTTTCATACCTTATTTTTGTATGAATAGGCCTAGTTGTTTATATTTTTACAGGCAAAATAAAATTATTGTGAACAAATTATAAAGAATCATAAATATTTTTTAATTTATCTGTGTTCATCCTCATATCATCATCATCATCATAATTTTCTTGATTCTCATTACCATTATCATCATTATTTTCATTACCATTATTCTCATACATTACCATTATTCTCATTACCATTATCATCATTATTTTTTATGATTCTCATGACCATCATCAGTATTATCATCATTATCATGTCACAAGGGCCAAATAATTAACATGAAAATACCACAGCATTAACTATCTCAATCCAAATTTATCGTCAGCTTCCATGTGGTTCATTAAGAACCACAATAAGAACCTCTTAATAAAGAATCTATTAGCATTACAAGTGTATGCACATAACTATTGTTATTTAAATTTCTTTCACTGTAGCCTAAATGTCCATGTTAATGGACTTATGAGGTAATCTACCTCATAAGTAATCTTTTGTGTTGTTGTGTTTTGATTTTGTTTTTGATTTTGTTTCTTTTTTCTGTGTGCTTATCTGTATCTTAATAACGTAATAATTTGTTAACTCTAAAAATAGTATTACTACAGTATTACTACAGTAATGTTTTTTATTTAGTGGATTTTGTTTCAACACCAATACAGTACTGAATACAGTTATTGTATAATTGTTTTGTATAACTTTTAGTCTCTTTTAGTTTAGTTGTTTTTTTCTTTCTCATTGAACGCACCGAAATGTTGTGTGCCACTGAAACAAAAGTGTATGTTCAGTTGAATAAATAAATAAATGACCAATATAAATAGTAAATTCAACAAAGCCATTATGCCAACACTTAATGTTTGTTACTTGGCTTGGTAAGCGAGATCACAGCAACTCTCTAATGGCACAGTGTCCATACAGTGCTATCAACAATATCACTGTCAGTTAATAAGTCCTAATCAAAGCATCAGATCATAATTATGGGCCACCTACAAAGTGTAGCAAGCCATTTCCAATGCAGAAATTCTACACATTGACATGTAACAATGAGACATGTTGGTAATTATAAGTTGGTACAAACTTAATTATCATGTTACTTTAAAATCATTTTGTAAATGAAATTATCATTTTATAATTCAATTCTAGTATATAAATACATCTATTATTCAATTGTTGGGGGGTGGGGAAGCCTTGAATCTGCCACTGGAAAATGAAACAACTTTTGATATTTGAAACAAAAATATAATAGACTTTTTTTATTTTATATTTTGTTTCTTTCAGTAACTCTGATTTTAACCGGTGACCATGCTGTTTTTAAACTTATTTTGATTTCTTTCCACACACTTTTATTTATTTATTTATTTCCCCCCTCCCACCCTTCTCCTTCTCAATCCACTTTTTAAAAATTTATAACCTATTAATATATTGTATTTTTCAACTTAAGTTTACTACCTCTTATGTGCGGAAAAACAATAAACAAAACAAACAAACAAAAAAAAAAAGAACATGAATTAATTTAATAGGTGTCCAAAAATGGCACTTAAATTTCAATTTAAAAAACTACCATATCATATAATTTAAAGAATTTTACACTTACAGATACCCGAATATAGCACTTGAATAGTACAAAATTTATGATATTCTCCAGAGCGCCTACCATGCATTTAGGACGCAGATGAGTAAATTTTACATATGGTATAGATGCCCAAAAATGGCACTTGGATACTTTGTTCTCATGAGGATTCACCTAAATCATGTCAGTCTATTAATATCTGTCTGTATTTAGACCTTACCTCCTTACAGCTGCGCTTAGCACAGTGTAATTATCATAGTGCATATCATCGTAAACCTTAGCTGTTCAAATGCTTGTAAAAGCAACTTAGGGCAGTAGGCAGTGTCTGTGTTTCAATCTGTATTAAATCAAAATTAAATAAAATTGTATTTCAGAATTTCGTCCTTGTAGCTTTCCAGTGAAAATGTGACTGATATTAGACATAAAATGAAAACAACATGGTTTAAACAACAATAAATAACAAGAAAATGAACCTAATCTCAATGTTTAAATTTATGAAATGCAAATTGGTAAAGATGAATTTGGTAGGAAATTAGTTTTATGAAAATTATGAATGGATATGGTACATTGTTAAATACATTCTTAAATAAGTGTGCTGGTTCTCATAATTTTACATCATTTTTTTAGTTTATAAGTATTACATTTCCTTAGAATAAAGTCAGATTTTCTAATGGAGAGCCAAGTGGATGTCTGGTAGGAGATGAATGATTTTGAAACGGGGAGCCAAGTGGGTGTCTAGTAGGAGATGAACGATTGTGAATGAAGTGTATTCACCCCATCAACATCATTATTTTTATGTGTTCATTTAACCCATGATGTGATAAAAAAATTAAGTCTTACTAACATGTGATGTATTTTTTTGTTGTTGTAGGAACAGTTGTAGCTGTTTTAGGAAAAGAAGGCGACTCAAGTAAGTTTGAGGTGGAGGAGTATTCATTTGTTGACTTGCCAGCACAGATACCTGCTGCACCACCCGAACAGGACAGGTAAACTTAAATTATATTTCTACTTATATTTTTGTTAACTTTCTAAGGTGAAAGGTGTCCAATAAACTATAAACAGTTTTTCACTGGCTTTTAGACTTTTTTTAGAAATATAATGGAGGGATAAATTTATTAAGTGTAAACACCAGGTATAACCCACAAAACTTTGAAGAAAACTTATTTGCAGTTGGTCCTTTTGGCTTAAATGTCTGAAAGATGGTGCGCTATCGTAACTTGCATTTCGCCCTCCGGCCGCAAGGAAATAAAGAATTCAGCGCACACACATTGTCTCTCACTAGTTTAGCTGACTGAGCTAAGCTGCTTATCTTTTAAATTAAAGAGAGTAAAGTACAATCTATTATAATTTAATAGTGTAATATGGTTTTTTTTTTGTTTTTTTTTGTTTTTTGTTTTGCTCTCAAGGTTTGTACTGCTGGCGTCTGGACTAGGAGTTGGCCAAGCAGGTCAACACCTAATGAATCTACAGATGATGGTTGACATGGTAACCGGTAACCTAGGTGATGTTAATGATCAGAAGATGACTGCAAACATTGTGCGAATCATCATTGCCGGTAACAGTCTAAGCGTTAAAAATCAGGATAAAGGCGCTATGACAATGGTAAGAGATTACAGTTTACGCCATGAACGAAATTCTGTTTCAGTAATTATTATCATCATTATCTCATGACTGCCTTTATTATTACTATCTTCATTGTCACTAATTAACAAGTTAACTATTTTCATTCATTCAAACTGGAACTAGTTTAAGTCAAAATAGAATTGGTGTCAGTCTGTTTTATGTCACTTAATCCTCTTGGGGTTCTCCCCCCCCCCCCTTCCTTGGAAAATAGGGACTTTGCTGTGTGTCCTGATCTTACCTGCAGCCGTTACATTTCCCCATGATATCGTGTTTTGTAGTGTAGAGCATTTTTAGTTGTCCTCTGGTAAGTCTATTTTTGTCTCTACCAATTTATTTCTCAGGCCATTATTAGTTGGTGTTGTTGAATTTAATTTATTCACTTCAAGATTTTTTTTAGCAAGTATTTTGGAATTTACTGAGCATTCAGTACTTATAACACATCAGGTAGGGCAAACATCATTTTGTATCATTTCTCCTGATGCAAAACGCCATTGGAATAGCATTGAAGTACCCGCTGCTACTTGGAAATCGGGTTCATCACTAGCCACCAAGCTCAAGCTCGGTGGTCTAGTGGTTAAGACATCAGGCTAGTTACCTGGAGGTCATAGGTTCAGTTCCCACCCCAATCACTTGCAAGATTTTTTTCGCAAGTATATGGGAATGTACTGAGCATTCAGTATTTATAATACGTCAGAAAAATTATTTTCGTATCATTTCTCCTTTCGCAAAAAGCAATCGGAATTGAATATTATTGTTATTAAATTGTAATTATAGGCCAAGTACTTGACTAGGAATACATCTCCAATCAGCAGTGCTGCCGTCAAGAACCTGGATGATATTTTGGCACAATTGGTGGTAAGTTAAAGATATGAAATGAATGCCCAGTTTGATTGCTTTTATTGCATCTCTTTGGCTGTGAGATTTAGGTTTTCCATTCCTTCTTGAATATAATCCTGGAGAAATTAGTGTGAAGTTATGACCAACTCCATACTTTATTCTGTATAGTAATAATTATTGAATAACTCTTTATCCAAGCCCACCACATTTTTACTTTAGTGTTGTCTGTAGTTCATATTTGAAGGAAATCATTTTACTTTTACCATTATTTTCACATTTTTTGAGCAGGCAGAATTTTTTTGCCCGCCTCTGCTTCTAAGAATTCCAGAATATCCATTTCATATTCTTTTGACAACCTGTGGGCCAACAGGTAATTTAATAAGGCAATCGGTCTTTCTGATCTGATTATTGTGAATTTTTACCTGCGTTTGTAGTTTCAATACCAATTTGAAATTTATTGTTTTAACTTTTATTGTGATGCAATATGGTAGATTTTTCAATATGCTATAAGAATTTTAGCTTCCCATAACTGTAACAATCTCTGTTATATTATAAATTTGTATTCTTCTCTATTTTACTGTAATGTACATTTCAACATATTTTTTAATGGAATTTGCGCAATATATATACTGTCTCTCTTTTCCATTCTTCCTAGAGCTCTATACCAGTTGATGTAATGCCAGGGGAGCAGGACCCTGCTAACTTCACCCTCCCCCAACAGCCCCTTCACCGGTGTATGTTCCCTCGTGCGAAAGTCTACTCATCTTTAAACCTGGTAACCAATCCTTACGAGGCATCAATAGGCAGTTTTAGGTAGGGGTTTTCTATTTACAGTAGTACAGTAAAATGTCCATTTTACGAATGGTCTTTGCCCATGATGACGTCATTATCGACCAATTATTACCATAAAAAAAGTCAGATTGCGCATGCTTTACAAAGTGATAATGTGTATTTTACTTAGTAAAATCAAATTTGTTGTATTTATTTATTAATAGTTCGATATTTTCTTCCATTTCTGGTATTACAATATATATATATATATATAATATATATATATATGTATAATAATAATTTAAAAATTCAATTTTTTAAATAAAGTGTGCTACATACAATGTAATAATCCTAACCACAACAACGAAACTACTAACGCAAGTGTCGTCGGATTGAGCACACATGTTTACGATGGCGACCGAGAGTGTTGGAGTCAGCAACTTACTGACATCGTGAATGCTAGATATGATCGCGAAATGCATGTCAACAAAACATGATAGAAAGGTCCATAAAACATACAGGTGCTTAATGTTTTTTAAGTGGAAGAATGCCAGCGATTACAATAATTTGTTTTTTATCGAAGGTAAATTCAGCTAGGCTCTAGAACGGTAGACCATAGTGCTGCACTGTCGGTTCGTGCTTGGCCTGGATGACGTCAGCTAATTGGTGCTCAATGGCAGGGGATGCCTAGGTATTGGAAACTGACACCCGATCTAATTTACAAATTTTTCAACTTATGACTTGTTAAGTCATAACTTGACTGCTGATTATCAAACCGAGATGCCAAACCAGCTTGCGACCCCTCTGGAAGTAAATCCTGTATTTTTAAGGGTTATTGCAGATATCATAACTTTTGATCTGTGGCTCTCGATTTTGTATGTTGTTTTTCATTTGTTAAACATATCAAATATATCAATTCAAATAAATAACCTGGCCATTGCAGACTCTTGCTCTGGTAATTAAATTCTTTATTTTCTCCTCTTTCTGTAGTAGCCATTACAGACTACAATGGTATACTGTAATCAAAGTCAGCTTTGTTGTATCAATACATTTTATTTTTTTCTTTTATAGATTCTCGGGTACTTCGGGGCAGAATGTTGATAGTATTTACCGCATCACGACGATAGATGACCGAATGGAGATCCTAGAAACGACGCTAAGGGCTGGACATATGGCGCCAACTGCACCTGATTTGTTAGGTTAGTACATGATTTATGTGTGGCGATATTTTGCAGTTTTGTCTACTTGTATTAATTTTGGTTGACCTAATCCAGGTGGTGTTGAAGGAATCCACATGTGGGAGATCTGTTTAAGTGAGCGTCCTTAACACATCTGATCATATTTTGCTATACACGGTGATGCTCATTGGCACCGACTTCTGGGAGACAATTTATAATACAGTATTGAACACTGGTTAAAGACATTCAAATATCGTGAATTTGCTGATGATGGGTTACGTTCCGGGAGATTCTTGCAAGAGTGCTGGAGGCATTCCCAATTTCTGGGAGACTCCCTTGTGTTGCGGGAGATTTGGGACCCCTGCTAACCATGTAAATCCTCCGCTTGACAAAAAAAAATGACAGCCAAGCTACGTGCAGTGGCATATCTAGAAGTCTTAAAATAAGGGTGATGATGGGGGGGGGGTGCGCAAAGGTAAATTGGGTGCTCGATGATCAGTTGAGGGGTCCTAATTCACAAAATAAGGTGATTTTAGGTGATTTTTAACTACTTGACTGTGACTTTTTGGTTTGGGGGGGGGGGATGGCGACTGGGGGACCCCTAGATAGTCCAGAATGAGAAACCAGGCTCATTTTCGCAAGAAAAATCCAGTGTAAACAGTGGCACTAGGATACTGTAATTTTTTCTAAGCTACACATAGTTAAGCTTTTTACAGAATATATGCAAAGATGCACACATGCAGAAAATTACTACTATCTGCTATTAACCCACATGCTAAAAAAAAATATGCTTTGTATTTAAATCAAGTAGACCAAGGTAAAGTTACCTAATTTAATAAAGGTGAAAATAAATCGCATCTGAATGCGTCTGTAGGTAAATTCAGTATGAATACGACCAATGTAAAGTTACTTTAATAGAGGCCAAAATTAATCCAGTGTGAATGCGTCTTTAAGTTTAATCCAGTGTCAACGAGTCTTTAGGTTGTTAATTTCATACATGTGTTTTCAGGTTGTTATCCATATTTCAACAATGACCCTTTCATCTGTACCACCTGCCCCCATGTCTATTTCGCTGGAAACCAGCCAAAGTTTCAAACCAAAAGATTAACAGGTAAGAACAGCTATCATTTTTTTTTAAATTATTAATCCTTATTATGAGGCTGGCTATCCCAAAACCAGTGTACTGTATGTTGCTAAATGTTAAACTAAGTATTTAGCATAAGAATGTGATACTATTGTATATTCTAATACAGAGCAGCTGTAATATTTGTACAGTACTCCTAACTTTAGCAATAGTATGTCAGTTCCTTTAAATTTCATATTCTAAAAGCTTATAGTGAACATATTAAAAAGTCAATTTTGTTGTTTTGTTGACTGATTCTGGTTTGACAAGGCAAGTCCCATATAGCTGCAAGCCTCTTCTAATTTATTAGGCTCGGAATTTTGAGTGGAATATAGATTTTTTTTTAAATAGCTAAAACACCACGTTGTGTATTTTTATGAATTTATAATGTGGTTGCAAAGAACAAAGATTGTTTACAAGAAAAAAAAAAAAAAGGTTAAAAGGTTATCTTCAACAAAGTGGTACAGGACAACTTTAATTAAATTATTAAACAAAATGCATTCATTTTTCAGATTCTTTAGGCAAGAAGATTACGCTGATATGTATCCCAGAATTCCACTCTACCCATACATGTGTACTGCTTAACCTTCGAACTATGGAATGTCAACCTTTGACTTTTGATAGTGACATAGTGGAGGAACCGTGTGATATTGAAATGGCGGATGAGGATGCAGTTGAGAAGTGATCAGTTAGGCTTCCAATGTCAAATACAAATAAAGCCTTTGTTGAGCTAATAATGTTTCAATATATTAATACCTTAGCCACGAGGTTATGCAGACCTGGGGCGAATGCAGGATTTGGTGGTAAGGGGTGTGTGTAGTGGGGTATATGAGAGTCCACACTACCTCAGCCTCACAGGTTGGGGCTGAAGTTAGAAAATTGCACTCTCATCATAGCAGATATAATTTCAATTATTTTCATATCAACAACACAATATTTTTTTCTTGATACAATTTAGGGGTGTGCAATCACACTGTCTGCTACACCCCCTGCATTCACCCCAGCAGACCCTATTTTGAGTAACTCCCATATTTCAAAAACATGCATCTACTTAAAAATAAGTACAGTACCACATATTTTTAGGTATTCATTATTTAATGTACAGTTCACCCAGTGACAAAAAATACTCTGATGCTTATAACCGCCATGAAATTGAGTAATGCTATCAGCATTTGTGACTGGCTACTACAGTATATGAGTTAGCGAATGCCACCAAGCGCAAGAGTCCAGGGACTTCAAGTTGAAAGCAATCCCTTTCGGCCGCTCTGGTTAAATGAACGTTCGTAACTGTGCGAGACAATTTATAAAACTGTAGTATAAAAGCATGAAAATATTATGATTTTGCGGGTGATTGGTTATTTTCCGGGAGATTTTTGTTTGCTAACGAGATTGCGGAAGGCTGTCCCGACTTTCAGGAAACTACTGTACTGTAAATATGATTGTTAGAATAGGGTGTCTAGAAAACTAAGACCTAAGATATCTTAGTTTTCTAGATCTAGAAAAGTAAGATATCTTAGTTTTCTAGATCTAGAAAAGTAAGATATCTTAGTTTTCTAGATCTATA